AGCTTTTTATTACCTGGAAACTTGTTGCTTATATCTTATTAATCTCATGGAACTTGATCTTAGATTAATTCAATTGCAAGAGTAGGATAGATATAGGGTACCAATTAACTCTTTCTATTACTAATGATGTCATTGGAACATATGAGGTGACCAATAAGAGCTTGTTTACATTCAATTATTAACATGTTTTATATCAACCAATTAAATACCAGGTAACATTATGCTACCAGAAATTCAGAATCAAACTGAGATAAGCAAAATCCCTCAAGAAAACTATAAAAAATAATAGATATTTTAAGAGGGTACAAGACAATATATGAGAAGATAGATAATAAGCTTTTCCCTATTAATAAAATCTCTATTTCTTGTCACTTCTAGCTCTGTAAGGTGACATTCTACTTGTCAGTCCTTTTACTTTCTATAACCTTCTTGCCTTTAGTAGAGAAAGTATGTACTTGAGTCTTTTTAAGTCACTAGAGGTCCAAGTTTTTATTCAAAGAAGTTTATAAACAAGTAAGAGAGAGTAGGAGAGATAAATAAAGACAAGTTTCATATTGTTTTAATGAAAGTATAAAGACTTTATTAGCAAAGAAGTATAAAACTTCTTGTGAACATCTTTTTTGTGTATAGTTAAAGAATTAGTATAAAGAGTTATATTCTTGTATAAAATTTTATTTGATATTATTTATATAATAATATATAATTATTAATTTATAACAATATAAATTATAAATAAACTTTTTTTGTTGATTTTTTAATAATATATAAAAAGATATTTATAAAAAGTATTCATAGTTCTTGACTAATAAAATCTTTATAATTTTTTTTAAAACAATTGAACCTTATTTTTAAAAATCTTTATTATTCTTTTTTATTTGTTTACAAACTTCTTTAAACAAAAACTTGAGCTTATGGTGATCTAAACAGATTCAAGTATATACTTTTTCTATTAAAGGCAAAAATATTCTAAGAAGTAAAAGAATTAACTTGTGAAGTATTACTTTTTAAAACTGAAAATAATATAAAGATGGAAATTTTTGTGATAGAGAAATATTTATTATCTATCTTCTTATATATTGTTTTTAGTTCTTTTAAAGTATTCATTGTTTTTTATAGTTTTTTTAAAAAATTTTATTTACTTTAGCTTGACTCTAAATTTCTAGTAATATGATATTACCTAATATTTAATTAACTAATATAAAAAATATTAGTAACAAGAAATAAACAAGCTCTATTGATTATATTTTTATATTTTAATAATATTATTGATAAAAAAAAGAGAAATTATTGATACAAACTTCTCAAATTCTACAAATAAAGTTAATTGAAATAAAAAATCTATAAGATTATTAAGATAGACATTAAATTTTTTAGATAATAAAAATATAATTATTTGTTTAAGTTGAAACCTTCAACTTCTTATTATTCTGATTTGGCAACTCTTTCCACTGATCCTCTGACCACATACAAAAAAGATGTTCACAAGAAGTTTTAATACTTCTATGCTAATAAAGTCTTATTACTTTTCTTAAACCAACCCAAAGAGTTCTCTCTGAACTCCCTCACCATCCCTCTTCTCCTATTTACAATATCTTTTGAACAAACTGAACTCTTGTGGCTTGCAAATTTCAGCTCCTACCTTTACTACCTATGGCAAGAAAGTTCCTAAAGGAAAAAAGACCAACAGTGAAGTACCCTCCTCCTCTTAGTTATGGTGGAGATAACAGAGGTTAAAAGCCAGCCAAAGGACTCAACTTTTCACCCTTTGACTGGTATCTGTAGCCTCTCAAAGCTACCTTTTTCACAACCTTCTGGGGAATTTTGCCTACCTTAGCTTGACCCTGAAATTTTGGGTAGTACGGATCTCGCCAACTCTGATTGGTTGACGCGAAACACATTGGATAAGATTGATAAACAAGCTCCTATTGGCCACCTCACGTGTCTGAATGCATTTCCTCAGCTCTATAAGAACCTGGGATCCACTATAAGTCACATTTGTGGGTGTGGGTGGATATAGGACATGATACCGACACATCATTGGATACAAGAAAAGGGTTCATCCAACCATGGTAAAGGTCACAAGATGCTCAATTAACTTTTTTTAAGTCAGAGCCACCTACTTCCTGATTGTATGTCAGATAGGTTCCCAAGCTCTACTGCTCGAAAAAGTCTAAACCAGAGAAAGCAAGAAGCCATCAAGGATACTCAGTGGTAAAGCTCGTGCGCAAAGCAACCCAGGAAGTTTTCATCCTATCTTCAAAAATCCTAAGCTGGAAGACTGGAAGGCTAATGCCGCTTCACCAATCGAAACTCGAGCCCGAAAATGTCAGTAGTGACATGCGAGCCAGCCAGATAATTTGGGAGATCCTCATCGATCACTAATACCAATGGCCACCAGCAGGGTATGTCTACCGCGAGGCTAGGTGCTGTCCTTTCTATAAAGAATTAAATTTGAAATAAGAGGCACAGATGGGTAAGTATTCCTATATTTAGATAGGAACGGGTTTAATTGACGATATACTGGAAGACTCTCAAATCACTCATACAGACACCAATATACCACCTGGGCCTTCCTAATTACTCCCTCCCCACAAGACTTAAAACTGTAAAGTCTCCTCAATGGCCTCCAACTTATCTCCATAAAAGACTCAGTAGAAGTACCTTTCCCCAGATCTCCTTATAGGAGAATTCAAGATAAGATAGACATAGACCAAGAAACAAAACCGATACCCGCTCCAAATGGCACATGACTGTCCAATTTTCTTTTTCTTTTTATTATTTTCAGACACCAGCACACTCTAGGGATGCTGGTTTTTCTTTTGTAAAAGAAAAGGCAATAGCCTTGAGATAGCTTTAGTATAGCTTTAGCTTATTATTATCTTTATAGTCCCGAAATATACATTCCTGTACTCGTGCTTTGTGCACTATATATATGTAATTTGGAAACCAATAAAGTTAGGCATGAGCCCGTCAAAAAAAAAAAAAAAAAATTATTCTGATTTGGTAAAATATATGATAAAAGTTATTTTTTATTTTGATCAAATTGTAAAACTTAAAAACAAAGAATTTGAAGATACTGTCCTTTTTTAGAATTGAAAATATAGTTCACTTATTATGTTTTTATTATAAATTTTAACTTTGACAATTTTTAAATCATTATCTATATAGTTAAAAATCATAAATTTATATACAGTATATTATATTTTAATACTTATTCTATTTTTTATATTTTTTAAAAAAATTTTTTATTAATATATTTTAAAGTTTTATTATTGTTAAATATTTTTATTTTTTTATTAATTATTATATAATTTGTGATAATAGTCAATCAAAATTCTCCAAAAGTAAAAATTTAATAAAGAAAAAAAATTTTACAATAATAAAACTTTAAAAATTACATATTCAAAATTTTTGAAAAAAATATAATAAATAAAACTAGTATTAAGATATAATATATATAAAATTTATAAATTTTAATTGTATAATTAAGGATTTAAAAATTGTCAAAGTTGAAATTTATAATAAAAACATAGTAAGTGAACTCAAACTTTTGAAAGAAATTATATTTCTTTAGATATTATATAATAATATTATAATTGATAAGAGTTTCTATCACTCTTAAGATTTTTTTACCATTACAAAATAAAAAAATTATTAGGAAATTACTTTTTGAATAATGAAGAATATTTATTAATAATTTCTTTAATTAGGTATAACTATTAAAAAACATTGAGAGTTATATAATATGACTATAAGGCTACATAAGAATCTAAAGTTTATTATAAGTTATTTGATCAAGTAAATAGATAAAAAATTAATATCAAAAGAAAAGAAGCTTAATTAGATATTGAATCTAAGTAGATAATATGTATTTTAGATAATTACAAGAAAATAATCAAGGTTATAAATAAATAAGTTTTTCAAATATTTAAGAAGAAGAAAAATATATTAGAAAGGTTGGTTTTTAATAAAATAAAGTTTTTAGCAAAAATTCTTTAGAGGATATAAAATACTTTTATTTTTTATTTTTATTTTCATCTAACACAATTATATATTTTTAAATATTTTTTTTTCTTTTTATAGTTTTTCAAAATTAGTTTCTTGAAGAATAATAAGTAGTAACAATCTATTGGTATAATTATTTATTAATTAAATACAGTATATAGTATAATATACTAATAAAAAATTTAACCTTATTTATATAATTTTTATAGTATTAAAATTTTTTTAAATATATATTTTTAAAGTTTTATTATTGTTAAAAAAACTTTTTATTAATATTATATAATTTATAATATATTAAGTCCACAATAAAAAATATTTTTATATTAAAATATTTATAATTACTTAATAATATTTAAGTGTTGATATACTGTATATATTTGAAACAAAAAATTAAATAAATTATACTACTAATTTATAATTTTTTAAAAAAATTTAATGAAAATATTAATTCTCAACATTATATTAAGATATTTGATATATTAAATATTTTTATTATTTATTTAAAATATATTATAAATTATTATTTCTGGTAAATTAGCAATTTTCTCTTTTAAATATTTTTAATTATATTTATTAAAAAAAATAATTTTGTCGACACGTGCAACGCTGAAGATCGTATGAAATTTTGGTCGGGCGTCACTTTTTACTGTATTTCAATTTTAATAGTTTATTAAAAATATGACCGATAATGTACCAATATTTGAGGTACGAGTCAGTTCAAATGCTTATAATGTACATTTATATCAAGACTTTTTATTATCTTGTATGATAAATATTGATTTCTCAAAACAGGTTTGCGTGGATTCAGTCGTCTCTGCCATGACTGCAGGTGAGAAGATATTTATTTATGTTTGTTATAAAGGTAAGTGTGTGGGGTGGGTGGAACATTTTTTAGATAGAATGTACATGCGGAACTTTTGACAATACGTATTATTGTTTTTAACTAGTATTAATTCGTCGTTTTCCTGGCCTTGCTTAAAGTCATTAATCCAATGTCACAGAAAGCGGAGGTGCATCACGTCTTGAATTATGCGGTAATCTGGGAGAGGGTGGAACGACACCCAGTTCAGGTTTGTGTTACCATAAAATGCCAATGTTAATGTGATATTATACGCCTTGCCTATATTGGGTCCAGGAAGCTAACATCAAAGGTTTAAAAAAACTTAGGAATGATTACTGCCGTCCTTAAAATCGTAAAGATTCCAGTGATGGTACTGCATATTTGATATCCATTCCTTTATTTTTTTTTTTTTATTTTTATTTTTTTTTTTTTTTGTGCCAATAAAAAATTGTGTTGATTTTTTAGGTTATGATCCGACCAAGGTATGGATTTGATTAGATGTTAGTTATCAATTATATTTATATTGTATATTCCTTTTTCTAGGGGTGGTGATTTTTGTTATAGCGAAGAAGAATTTGAAGTGATGCGTTTAGATATAGAGCATGTGAAGAAATTATCGGCCATATATGGAGTTGTCTTTGGGATATTGAAGTCAGATGGTAGCGTTGATGTTGAAAGAGTAACAAAGTGATTGTCATTTGAAAAGAAAATTTTAGGTTTTATTATTTTTACCAACAGTATGAATTTTTTCGTCCCCATCAGATTGGTTGAGATTGCAAAACCCTTGAAAGGTTAGTTGGTCGTCGCTTGATTTGTATTCAATCTTAATCGATGCATTGAAAATTTCGACATTTTTGCAGTAACATTTCACAGAGCTTTTGATATGACTAATGATTACATCAAAGCACTCAATGATATCACCATGATTGGAGGCATTCAAAGAATACTCACGAGGTAATTCCTTTTTGTGAATTTTATATCTTTGATTGCAGCTAATACATTTTCATATGCACTTCCTTCTTGATATATTAGTGGCCATGATACAACAGTATTGGAAGGTTTAGAAACTATTAAAGAATTGTTAAAATATTCCGGAAGCAAAATAATAATAATGCCGGGTGGAGGTTAGTATTTTATGCTAATACTTTTATTCTATTTGCTAAGGTTTGATTGATTTTTTTTTTTTTTTTTAAAAAAACAAACAAAAAACAGGAATCAGGGAATCGAATATATCAAGGATTCTATCTTCGGTACAACTCAAAGAGATCCATGTATCAGCAAGTACGACGTTTCCTTCGTTAATGGACTATAAGGTCACTAATATCCATATGGGCAAAGCATTGTATGGCAGTGAGTATTTAGTGAGTGGTGTTTGTAAAGAAAAATTGATAGGAATGATTAATATTGCTGCGAACGTCAAAGAAAAAAACAATTGATTTTTCAAACTGTGAATAAGGATTTTTTGTTTATCTTTTTTATTTTGGCTCAGCCATTATTGGATTTTATGTTTCTATCTTGTTTCTTGGAAAATTTTTTGGGCAAAAAATATTATATTCACACTTCAATGAAAACATTCAAATTAAATTAAATTAAATTGCTCGCAAGAATTGTCCAAGGTTCGCTAATTGCAGTAGGGTTTTATGATTTAGTCAAGCCATCTACCATATATTGAAATAGAAAGAATAGAATTATTATTGAATTACCATATTCGGATGCTTCTCTTGTATTCACGAATTTTCGCCAATGAAAGGTATTAGTGAAGAATTAGTACATCACAAATATGGTAATTTTGAAAAATAGGTAGAAAATAAATTGTTGTTCCACACAAGTCTGCCTTGGAAAAGCTTCCAGTGCCTTCCTAATAATGTGCCAGGATGTACACTTATCACGCCCTTCACTCTATACTCTTCAACAATCTCCACATGCTTGGTTGTCAACTCTCTTCCAAAATTAAAGACAATCATTCTTCCCGGTTCCAACCTCATCTCGCAATGTTCCAAAAATTTTCGGAACGCGTCGGCCGTCAACACCCAGTCGCAACTCATGGAAAAAGTACATAATTTAGTTGGTAGAACTTTCCCCATTTCGGGAAAATATTTAGAAACGTCAAATGTGTGAATAAAATCCGAGTCTGTCCGCGAACAACCATTTAGAAATTTTAATTTTCGAAGCTGTCCGCAAGATGCGAGAAGAGAGGGCAAAAGGGGAATCGCTTCATCAGGAACGAATATGCAAAGTTTTTGGATATTCGGACATGCCCTTCCTATCGTATCAATAAATTCTTTGCAGTGTTCTGTACTATTTGTTTTTTCGTAACTTATTTTAAGATCTCTTAAGCTCCCGCCCGTATTACTAATTAACCTTGACATCTGATCCAAATATAACCTGGGCGTCGTCAAATGCAGCTTCCGAAGTCTCCGGAATTCGGTATTTGAAAATACTTCAAAGGTCTCTCTTGTCGCTATGCTAGAATACTGATGCGCCGAAAATTTTTCGAGATTTGCCGAGTTGGCAAATAAATCCAAAGGCAGAGAAAATTCCCAATCAAGTTTAACCTTTCGCAAACTTGATGCTCGATACTTTAGAGCCTTGGTGACATTTGGTAATAAATCCTCGGCATATATTATAAGTGACCTTAGGTTTCGTTGAGATTCGATCAAAGCGGCCAAGATCTCATCATTGTCACCTAGCGTCTCAATTTTTATCTCTTTCAGATTATGTGAAACTTGAGCAATCGTAGATATGATCTCATTGGGAACAGAATCCATCACGCAAAATCTCTCTAACCTGGATAAACAAACATCAGCCTCGGGTAGATGTCTTAAAGGGATGTATTGTACATCAGGAGAACCAGGCAGACCACGCGTCTTGTCGTATTTAAGGCATTTAAGATTGGATGAACGCTGAAAGAACAAGTTACACAATTCCTCCACAACAAGATAATGGCGATAAGTTATTTTTCGCAAAGCAACCCCTTCGTTTTCTCCGATCCAAATTCCTACAGCTTGGAACAGCAAGATATAATCCAAACATTGCAAAAGTGATGCATATTCGAAGGTCGGCCTGATGAGAGTTGCTGGTGGCAATGTTACGCCTGTCTTTATTAGTGAATTTTTTGTTTCATCGGATAAACAAGAAACATAAGTTTTTATCAGAGTAGCTCCCTTATCCCATATTTGAACTTTGTGATAGTCAAAAGAATCAAAAGGCTCCCGCCAGAGTAAAGGAATAGCACATGTACACCAACACCTGTTCACAAGCAAACAACTGTACAAAGAGCAAACATTTAGGTGTGAAAAAATCTTTTGTAAAATTTCGACGGGAAACATTATCTGATGATTGTAGAAATCATATGTAATGTATATGTACATTTCACGAATTATTTGTGGTACGTGTGCATATCAAAGACGCACGTTACGTGTGTTGTGACAAATTTTAATATTAATAATTATCGAAAAAAATATTTTGTATAATTTCTATTATAAGTTCCAACTGTATAATTATAAATAGTTTATGCGAGTTCTTACTTATATAAAACAAGTAAAATTTTCCTATTCTAAAATTTTTGATAAATTATTTTTAGAAAATTCTTGATTTAATTAGAATGAAAATATCTTAAAATATATAGTGGCTTACAAAAGTTTGAAACTATTTACTGTTTTTATTATAGATCTCAATCTTATATTTTTTTTTTTCAAATTATATAGTATGTTTTTTATTTTTTTAAAGTTTTAATATTATTAAGATATCTTTCTTTTTATCAATAGTTATACAGTATAATTTTAACAAATATTATTTTAAAAAAATTATTAATTTACTTTATAATATTTTTTAATTTGATATTAAAAAAAGTCAAATTGATTATTTTTTTTATTCTATTTTAATTATTAGTATAAATTTTATAAGTTTAAAAAAATTAAAATATTAATTTTATAATATAATCTTCACATTTTATTTTAAACTTATTAATAATTAAAAAATTATTAAAAAATTATTAAATATTTTAATTTAAAAAATATCTTTTATTATTGACTCAAAAAATATTGTAAACTTTAATTTTTAATAATATTATAAATGATAAAAAAAAAGATAAAAAAATTTTCGACAATGAAAAAAATATAGAATAAATTAATAAAATTTTAATGAAATTGAATATATTATTTAAAAAATATATTAATTAATTATATAATCTTTTTATTTGCTTTTTTTCACTTTTAAAAATTATATAATTATAATTTAATATCTAGTTTATTTTAAAAAATAAAATCTAATAGTATTAAAAATTTTTTTCTTATTAAACTGTGACTAATATTAAATACAAATACTTTTATTTATTAAATTATAACTTAACAAATTTTATAAAAACAATTATCCTTTAAGTAAATATCAATTATTTCATACAACTTTATATATTTTTATATATATATACAGTAAATTAATAATTATTTATCACAACTAGACTTGTTTATATTTATAAAATAGACAATTCCAGTTGAATACCAAATAACAGAATATGTAATCATTAATAATAAGTTTTAATTAGTTAATATTAAACTTAAATAATAAATTTTTTATTGTAATTTAGTTTTATTTTAATTTATATAAAATAATAAACTTAATATATAAATTTTAATTAGAAATTTATAATTTAAATAGTAAAGTTTTATCATTTTTATTGATTTGAATTTAAAAAACAATTTTAAGTTTAAACTATAAAAAAAATAAATTTTTAACTTTATTTTTTTTTATATGTTAAACTACAACTGATATTAAATGTAAGACTTTATTTGACAATTTAATTCCACTTTTATTATATCAAATATCTCTATATATACAGATTAATACTAACCTAACCTAACAATTCTAACTAAACCTACTACTATTCAAAAGTGGACACATCTAACTAGTGACTAGATAATTAATATATAATCATAAATAGTAATACTTAGGCTAGTTAGTATAATGCTCATATAACTTTTTTATTATTATAATTCACTAAGCTAGACCTATTAGATATATCCAACGATATGTACACACCCTCCAATATTCCTAGATATTATTTGCTCAGTCCTTGGAAGAAGGCATGTTACCTTCTTTGTCACCACCTGTGTATCGAATTAATTCCTATTAATTGATTTTCAATTAAATAAAGCACCAGATTGAAATATCCTGAGCTAAAAGAGCAAGAGTTCTGAAGGTTGTCAAGGCAGAATGGACTAAGGGCTTTTGTATAGAAGGCTAGATCAGAAACCTTACTTTGTGCAATCCTTTTAATAATATAACCTTAAGTTTAATCTCTGATCGATGGAAGGTCAAAAGTTCTATCTTCATGTAGCCTAACTTGTTTCAAGCTAGTTCCGAATAATTGAGTAGGACTTTCACAAAATAATCAGCAAACCTGATCAAAAAGTTAATTTTAATTTTTGATTCTTAAGTGGTATTGAACTATAGATCTTATGATTGCAACCTATGAGCACCACTACTGTGCTATTAACCTATAGTTCTAAATTTTTAATTTTATATAATTTTTAATTTAAATTGAATTTATCAATTTTAAGATTTTATTTTTTAAACTTTTATAATTATTTATATATATAAATTAATCAAAATATTATTAATAAACTTTAAAAATTTATAAATAATTATATAGTAGTTTAAAAAAAAATTGAAGGACTAATAATATTTTTATTAAAAAAAAAAGTTGACTCAAAATACTATACAGCTAAATATCAAATAGCAAATATAATACTTAACAATATTTTATAAAATTTCTTTAAAAACCAAAGAAGCTTCAAAAATAATACTTGACTTTTTCAATTTTATTTTTACTAGAGAAAAGAATCATACTATTAAACTAATTTACTATAAGCTTAGGAAAGTTCAATATTAACTTCCCAAGTTTCTAGTCAGATCAATATTATACTAGTCGAAAAAAAATTATTCGGCATACTGCCACTCATGTAACATTCGACAAAAAATACTACCACTCATGTAACATTCAGCAA